TTTGAGAATAACTTTAATATTTTCACTGATTTTGATAGGAAAAAGTAGGAGGGAGCTAAGAAGAACTATTCATGCATGTGATCTGGAGGAGGACGACAGTCTTTATGTAGAATAAGTTAACAAATACAAAAGTAATGTGGAATCTGATCATGGCGATGATATTTTTCGCTTCCATACATACATTTCAGACTTCAACTTCTGGCTTTTGTTTTGCTGGTGCTCTTGCAGTGTCTCAAAGAAAAAATGCAAGCATGCCCTTGTTTACCTCACCAAAGTTGGTCAGGGTAATGTCTTGCTCTGTGTGAGTCTGGAAAGTGCAATTGTCCATAGACAGAACAATGAAATTCTATTAATGCATTGTTGACAAAGGCATTAAATAACCTGAATAGGAGGGTTTTTTCCTCCAGCATTTGAGAGGTGACCCTCTAAAAATATTGAATGCAGCCTATTCCAGTGGAAGGAATCTTTGATATTGACTGTACTACTTTTTACTGTAGAGCAGGATAGTTTAGTGACAGAATTCTCAGCTGAAGCTGTCAAAGATAAGCACATGAAGTACATTACAACTAATTAGTATTTCTTCCTTTTGAAAACTAAAATATCTAACAAAAAAGACACTAAGCCTAAAATGGTTTCTACAACAGAACAATTCTGATTCAACACAAAGGAAGCTAGTCAACTTTAGGGGGTAAATTAGTCAGTGCTCTAACTGGTATATTAATCTCTCAGAAACATGTTGCAGTGAATGCAATGGTAGGTAGAAGTAAGTTATAAGTTTAGCTTAGTAGCTTTTAAATTATATATTCTTATTTAAACAGCATGTGTGGGATGTCAGATTTGCCTTTTGCCAAGTTCATTCTTTCTTTCTTATCAGTGATAGATGCCGAGAGCTTTCTTCAGTATGCTTTTTTTTATATATATATATATATACCTATATCTTGAAACCTTACTTTTCCTTTATCATAGGTCCAGTTGTTTACGTTTTGGATCTTGCAGATCGACTGATCTCAAAGGCATGTCCATTTGCTGCAGCTGGAATAATGGTGGGCTCTATATACTGGACAGCTGTTACATACGGAGCTGTGACGGTGATGCAGGTATTTCCTCTTCTTACCAGCTTTGAAAGCAAGTTTTCAAAAGAAAAAGTCAATTAATTAAGCCTCCTCTTTTCTTGACTTAAAACATGATTTAGCTACTTTGAGTGTAGTTAACAAGTGAATTCAAGATGGGTGGATAGAAAGCTTTTCACTTTTAACTGATCATACTGTACAAAGCCAAGTGGTTCAGTCTGCAACTAACAAAATTCACTACTACTGCAGCTGGCTGCCCTTTGTATGGCAGGCTAGTGAACCCATTTCTATTTGTACAGAAAAGGTGCTGTTACCGCCTTACTACTAATAACGGGTAGTCTAATTCTTCAGAAAAGACAAGAGAATAATCTCTTCTTTCAGCTGTAGAAAAATTTTGCTGGTAACATTCAAAGGGTTGAGACATGGTGAATTTTTCAGTCCTACCACTTTTTTATTGTATAAAGGAAAATGCATGTTCTGAATGGTGCAATTCATGCATAAACAACAAATGCAAAACACTGCAAATTAATAGTATGTTCTTTTAATTACTTCAGACTGGTTAGTTGAAAAGGGAAAAAAACCCTTATTTTTCCTACTTCTGTTCTTGTGAACTTGCTGTTTAAATATAAAAACAACAATGACAGGTGGTAGACTATTAACTATGGAAAGACTTGTTTACGGCTGTCCTAGTTCAACTACAAGACAAGAGTTTTCATAGATTGTACAATTGGAAGGACCTTTTTTACCATTTTAGTTGTTGATTCCTATATCAAGCCCATAACCTGTGTTTTGCCTGAAAGCATAAAAGTATTTCTGATGCTAATTCAGTTGTAGATAGAATTAACAAATCTATGTGCTAATAAGTATTCCTCTACACAGTTCTAGTTTTAAATATACAACCATGTAAGTCACATGGCAATACTTTCTCTTGAATTGTGTGGTACTTCCCTGCAGTTCTACAAGTCACTCCATCTCAAGATTGTGTGCTATTTTGGTTCTCTCCGTACATGATCTCATAGCAGAAATGTACATGACAAGTACTTGAAGTGGAGCCCAAATGAGTTAATACAGTCTCCCTGGCCAGGTTCAAGCGGCTGCATAAGTGATGTATAATGACTTTCAATACCTCCTCATTCCAGTGGAGTGTCTCTATTACAGAATCGTACACTTAGGAATTTCCTCATCTGATATTTTGTTGTTCTTGTGGCCCTTACAGGAAAATTGCAACCATCTGTAATACTACAACTAGACTTCGTGAAATGTACCAGTCCTTATCTCCTTGCTCACTGCTACACTGAGCCTTCTTCTGTAGGAACTTAGATGACCTTTTTAGCTTCTCTAGAACTACATAACCAAATAGAAAGACAAATGCTCCTTTCTGTAGTTGCTTGGCTTTTGAAATGAGGATCTGGCCTTAAACAAAGGCAAGTTGTAGGTCTAGTTGAACAACTGCATGGTTACAGCTTCACATCTACATTAGTTTAGGCAGCTGGTCAAATCCCAGGTATGAAGAATTAGCTATTTTCCTCTGATGTAATGTTTTTTTGACCATATGGATGGCATGCTGGGTAAGAGAGTAACTTATTTTTACTTATAATGGAGGAAGTTAAACTGGGAGTGGAGGGAAACTGTTTCACCCCTTTTGCCACCCCAGATTTGCTAGATTTAATACAACTTGTTTCCTGATGCATTTCAGACTCCTTTCCTTCAGCTGAAGGGCCAGAGAGAAGCACAAAAGCTATTTTTAAAGGTTAAGCTTCGGCTGGAGAAAAATAAATACAGAATTGACATTGTGACTACAGTGGTAGCTAAGTCAGTAACAAATCATATGGGGTTACTGAAAACAGAAATAGTAATCTAAAGCAGAAAAGACAAGATACTGAGGCTTTTTTTGATGGACAAGGACTATAAGGAGAAAAATGATAGCATCAGATATCACAATTTGGATGAAAGATAGCAAAGAAGCTGGAAGACAAATGCAGAATGTTTTTTGAAGGAGTAATCTTTTGGTGGCAACAATATTGGTTATCCCTATTTTTAGAGGCTGTGGTATGTAACATAACTTCCTGTTCTAGAAGAATAAAATAGAACGGTTTTCAAAGTAAGGCTAAAAAGTACAGTTTGAAGGTACTGTGGTACGTTACCCTACTTCTTCCCAGTGTCCCACCTATTCCAGAAGTACTGCTTTTTTAAAAAATGTTGCTATTGTTGCATGTTCTTACCACCTAATTCTAAGTTTTGTGCAAGTGAAGACTTGGTATCTTTTTGCATTTGTGGAGAAAACAAGAAATCAATGAAAACACGTCAGGAAATCCAGTGCCTGACAAATGTAATAATTACTGTTTGTCGTGGTTTAATCCCAGCCGGCAATTAAGCCCCACACAGCCGCTCACTCACTCCCCCACAGTGGGATGAGGGAGAGAATCGGAAGGGTAAAAAGTGAAAAAATTTGTGGGTTGAGATAAAGACAGTTTAATAGGTAAAGCAAAAGCTGTGCATGCAAGCAAATCAAAACAAGGAATTCATTCACTACTTCCCATCAGCCATCTCTGGGAAAGCAGGGCTCCATCATGTGTAACAGTTACTTGGGAAGACAAACGCCATCACTCCGAACATCCTCCCCTTCCTTCTTCGTCCCCCAACTTTATATGCTGAGCATGACGTCATATGGTATGGGATATTCCTTTGGTCAGTTAGGGTCAGCTGTCCCAGCCGTGTCCCCTCCCAACTTCTTGTGCACCCCCAGCCTCCTCGCTGGTGGGGTGGGGTGAGGAGCAGAAAAGGCCTTGACTGTGTGCAAGCACTGCTCAGCAGTAATGAAAACTTCCCTGTGTTATCAACACTGTTTCCAGCACAAATCCAAAACAGAGCCCCATACTAGCTACTATGAAGAAAATTAACTCTATCCCAGCCAAAACCAGCACACTATTTTTGTGGTTTTAGTCTTCCTGGATTCTTACGGAAAAAGTCAAAAGAGCCCATTCTTTCTAGATGCCCTTCAAGGACTTTGTTAGCATTTAGTAATTCTTAAAGTGAGACAACTCTAGAGGATATCTACCACTTTAATTTCTTTTTTTTGTCCTCAGCCCTATTAGAGTTACTTACTTAAAATAAAAAGTATGTACTTTTTAGGAAAATATAATGCACTGCTCTGTTCCAGTTTTAATACGTACATTTTATAAACTGCAAAGTCTGATTTTTTTTTTTTTTTTTATGTGCCAGTAGAAAGGTTTAGACACATTGGTAATGACTGTCTTTTAAAATTGTAGCACTAACCACATTTAAAAATAAAGTACAAGTGAAGATATGCTGCTATTTCTACTACAGTTGAAAATAATGTACCTCTTCCTGCATTGTCTAGAGAAGCAATACTTTTTAATACTGTGATCTCTGTTGCATAAGATATTCCAAAATAACAGAATTTTTTTATTAAAACATCCTGAGATACTTGCTATCAATGTATCCGTTAAAGACTAGTATCTAATCAATTTCTGAGAGTAGAATTAATCATTCTAAAATGGTAAATTTTTCTGTGCATTTTGGAAAGTATGCTATTTTGATATTTCAGATGTTTAAACTTTTTACTCATACAAAAGCACATGAAACTTTTCTTGAGATGGTAAGGAATTATGTTACAGCTTGCTGCAAGATTAATGACTTGCAAATTAGGGCTGGTAGGTCATCTGCATTTCACTTGATAAGTAACCAAGGATGCAAAGGGAAAATGAGTACGTTAGGTAAAATAAAACAGTATTGTGTTTTTTTTCTTTAACTTAAAATGTGATGGGCAGACCCTAACAAACTATAATTTTTATAAGTTATATTCCTTGTTCAGTTATGGTCTTTGTTGTTTGTCAACTATGTACATATTTACCAGGTTGTGGGTCACAAAGAAGGTCTTGATGTCATGGAGAGAGCTGATCCTTTATTTCTTTTGATTGGACTTCCCACTATCCCAGTCATGTTAATATTGGGCAAGATGATTCGTTGGGAGGACTATGTGCTCAGACTGTGGCGCAAATACTCTAATAAGCTACAAATTTTGAACAGCATATTTCCAGGTAATGTGATTAAATTTAAAAGGAAATACCAAGCTTGAATTGGTGCCTTTAGGAGATGAGGATAGGCGAGTAGTTTTTGCCATTCTTAAGTAAAAGTGGTAACAGCTTCCCTCTGTATGTTCAGTCTATTTAGATTGTGTTTGCATAGTACCTAGTGAGAAAGGTGGGGCAAGAGGATCAGGAGGATGGTTTCAATTAAGGCCTCAGTAACAAAAACAAGCTACTAAAAATCATGGGTCTTACTTGAAAGTAAAAATGAATAGTCATTTAACGGAAAGAGAATATTCACTGAGAAGAGGGATAGTGTCGTGGTTTAACCTAGCAGGCAGCCAAATATCATGCAGCCGCTCGCTCACTCCCTGCCCCCCCCCAGTGGGGCGGGGAGAGAATTGGAAGGGTAAGAGTGAGAAAAACTCGTGAGTTGAGATAAAGACAGTTTAAGAGAACAGAAAAGGGAAAATGATAATGATAAAATATACAAAATAACTGATGCACAATGCAACTGCTCACCACCCGCGCTGACCGATAACCAGGTAGCGATCAGTACTTCCTGGATCACACCTACCATTCATATACTGAGCATGATGTCACATGGTATGGAATACCCCATTAGCCAGCTGAGCTGGCTGTCCTGATTATGTTCCCTCCCATCTTGTGTACCTAGCTCAGTCAGTAGGCATGGGAGCTGTCCTTGGAGTAGGAGGGTACTTAGCAACAACTGAAAACATCAGTGTGTTATCAACATTCTCCTCATACTAAATCCAAAACACAGCACTAGGAAGAAATTTAACCCTATCCCAGCTGAAACCAGGACAGATAGTTCTCAAAGTAATTGGGCTATAGGTTTATAATGGCGTGGGGGTGGGCACTAATGTGCTTTGTGTTCTGTTCGAGGAAGTGGCTATGTAACCTTTTCTTCCCCCACTCTCATCCCTTTAGGCATTGGATGTCCTGTTCCTCGTATTCCAGCAGAGGCCAACCCTTTGGCAGATCATGTCTCTGCTACACGTATTCTATGTGGAGCTCTAGTTTTCCCTACTATTGCCACGATAGTTGGCAAGCTGATGTTCAGCAGTGTTAACTCAAATTTACAAAGGACAATCTTGGTAAGATTCAGTATTGTTTGTTTCATAAATGATTATAATATGAGAATATGAAGTGTTGTGGGGGGAGGGAGAAAAAGTAAAAAGGAACATTGATCTAGAACTTGAGTGGCATTTGATTAAGGGAAGAGGGTTTTTAAGGTTGCCTGTCTTCGCAGTGGACAAGCATCATGTGTGTGAGAGACTTTGTCCTTGTGATTGAAAGTAATCTCAACTCTAGACAAGGCTGAAACTTGTATCTGGTATCTAGGCAGATCTTAGCAGTAATCAAGGGTGATAATGAAGATGAGGAATCAGCATCTTCTAAGAACAATCTCTGCAAGGGAAGACTGGGGTTTATATTATCAACCTTTTCATATTAGCTTCTGTTTACTAATTCTTTGAGAGAATCCCTTTGTTACTTATTTTGGTAAGGAGAGAAAAATAAACTCTCCATAGAAGTTGAATGGAGGGGGGAAGACAAAGAGAGGAGACAATCTCTTCCTTTGTGAATAGCCTGTCTGGCTGGAAGCCTTTCAAAGGGAAGCACACTGAGTTTGGTAAGGTGGTATCCCTGGTCACCTGACTGTCACTTCACCCCTGTTTTCAATTCTCTTCCATACGGAAGAAACAGTGATATTACAACCGTTCATGCAGACTAAAGGTGACTTAGTGTCTCTTCTTATATTGAAGACTTGAGATAAACATTCTGAAAAAAAAGATGTTTGTTTTACAAAAAATAGATTTTATCTCACTTTTTGGCAAGTGGCCTCTTTCACAGTGATTATAGAATGGTAATTAGTATTATTCCTTGTGTCATGTATAGTATATATTCAGAGAAGGGAGGAAAGCAGATACGTATCTGCATTTTATTTTGTTCTTTAAATAGGATGTATTTTGACTTTTTAAAAATATTTGTCAGACTTCTGAGCAAATAAAAGCTTTCAAAAGGTTTTATAGATCCAGTATGTAATCCCTTTAAGTAACACTAACCTCTGTAATAGTGCATTGTGACAGAAAACTTTGAGATACTCATTTAGAATTGTCCTAATTAGCTAAATTTCAAAAGAAAATGCTATATGATTGGAAAATAAATCTTTGACCAGAAGTTTTTAAAAAGAACATTTGCAATGGTATGACACTGAACTGTGCAGGTTTTCAAAATATCTTTCTATTTCAGGGTGGAATTGCTTTTGTTGCTATAAAAGGAGCTTTTAAGGTTTACTTCAAACAGCAGCAATATTTGCGCCAAGCTCACCGCAAAATTTTAAATTATCCTGAGCAAGAAGGAGCATAAGGCTGTGATCTCCAGATGGCATACAGTCTCATCTAACAGGTTTCCATGTTGTATTGGTTCCATCATTATTGCACAGTAGTGGAGAATTGTGATAAGTTGCTGCTCCTATTTTTTTTTTTCTTTAAATATAATAAAGCACTGTCTTGTGGCAGGGTAAATCCTTTCAGCAACCACTGAACCTAAGAATGTGACTTGGCTTTCATTATTTTTGGGTATTTCTGTTGGGCAACAGGCTTCTGAAGTATTTTCTTTGAGCCAATATGCTGAATGGAAGAAAAAGCATCAACTACAGAACAAGAACATTTTAAATTGTGTAGTTAATGTAGGCTATATCCAAATGCCTTTTCTATACGTGTTTTCATACCCACGCTATCATCCAGTTCAGCATTTCACACAGTGAAGGGAATTTTTTTTAGGAGAAAGTAAGGAGAAGTTTTTTAGGAGAAGTAATTGGGGGACATCAGTCCATAAAGATTTCTGTGGTTTTCGCTGGTATCAAACAGGGAGTGTAAAATACTGAAATGACTGGCCAGAGAACGCAGAAGATAGATCACTCTCTACAGGCCTTGTGTGTCAGCTTTAGCCACCTAAGTACTAGGTGTTGAAATTAGCATGGCTTCCAGATGACTTATTTTATTACTGATAATTTTTACTGCCCTGTTATATCTTCTGCAGTGCCTAGTGTTATTTTCTCATGGCTCTTTTACTGTTTTGTAACTGGTACCGGATAGCATTTTTTTTCCTCCACGTAATTACATGGGGGGAAGTAAATTTCAGTTGCTTATTTTGTAGTTAAGTATTAGAGCACTTGTTGAGTTTTCACGTTCCTTTTGATTATGTAAATATCCATAGAATTACAAAGAGCAGTAGAAGTGTGAGGCACTGGACACTAAAGTTACATTTAAACTGACAGATTAGGGCATCCTTCTAAACTTCCAGACGTGGGTGCATAACTCGGCTCTGTACCAGGACTAGGCTCTCTTCTGCCTGTACCAGCTCTAGTGGAAGGATTCTAGTGGAAGGATCGGCTGGAAGGGGGTGACACTACATTTTGGGTACCTAATCTGAGCATGATGCATACAGCAGGCTAGACATTCTTGAGACTACCTGGCTCCCTTCTGTAAAGGACTAAAGGATAAATCTTAAATGTGTAATAAACTAAGTTTATTTATACAGTAACCTCTACTGTTACAATATGTTCAAAGTAGCCAGCTGAGGGAGACATTAGCACTTCAGTTATTTGATGTATTTATAAACTTAATTTCAACAGAAATTAACTGTTTTGTGAAGTTAAATTTTGACAAACATAATACGGCCATTTAATACTCATACGAGACCTAACCTAGATTTAGTACTTGAAGTTTTTTCTTAACAACAATTTGTTTTTCTCAAAGTTTTTTTGTTGTTGTGGTTCATATTAGTATGTTAAATGCATGGAGAAAGGTTTAAATAAAATCTATTAGTGGAAGTATTCATAAGTAAATATTTCTTTTCACCAGAAATGAAGTAAATGCAGAATGGACTTCATATTTGACTGCAATAATGTATGTTAGAGAAATTCAAAATATGGTACCTTTTCTATAGTATGTTTATCTTAATTACTGAGATGTAATATTTTAGAACTGTACAAAAGTGTATATAATGACCAACTAGTATTCAAAAACTATACAGGTATTGAAAATTATACATTCAATTACTATCAGATACTTCTGAGGTTCTTGCTTTAACTGAAGAATTACTATAATCTTCTAAGTCTGCTGATTATATTTGTCTTAGTGGGCTCACTTTTATATAAAAACTCTAAATATAGAGTAGCGACCTCTGAAAGTTGCTGCTTGCTGTACGATAGTCTTGAAACAATATAATACGTATTTCTTACAGAATTCCTCATTTTGAGAAAACAGCTTTTCAGTGGTCTTCACTGTATAGGTTTCCAACCAATTTATTACTGTTTTTTAAAGTCTCATGAAGAATTGAATGATGCAAATTAGTGGGTTTGAACCTTGTTCCATGGGAAAGCTCATTGTCTTCTCTGGAAGTTAAAGCTATTGTAAAAATACAATTATAAAAATACTGTATGGATTATAAAATGATTTCACCTGAGTAGCAGAAGGTCATTACTCTGTTGTAAATCTTGTTTTTAAGTATTGCAAATTATAGTTGCGTTGAATTAGGTTGAATAAATATTTTTTACACTCCCTAGTGTATTTTGTCAGTTGAACAAAGCCTGTAGCAAAACTTCTGAATGAAAAATGTGTTTTGTTTAATGCATACCTGAGGATTTATATAATCAATTTTAAGTTGATGGCCTAAAGAAATGTCTTGGGGATGAAGGAAGAATTACTATAAGACTTTAAACTTATATTTACATTTCTTTTTTTTTTTTTTCCTCCTCTCTAGTGATCAATAAACGATGTAGGGGAATGCATTTCTCAAACATTTAAACCGAAAGAGTTGTTGCAATGAACAACTTCTGGTAATACAGAACCGGGGTTGGAAGTTATTACATACCTCTGGGTTGGCCCATGTGCAGCATTTATTTGGGGAATACACTGTTCCCTCTTCATTGGGAAAGATAATCCTGGCTGTAGAAAGTATTCTTTTTTTTGCACTAATGGCTGATTTATGTCCCATTACTTTCACACCAAGGAGTATGAAATGTTATCTAGCATTTCTCAGTGTACTCTCTTATCTGTAGCTTGGCTTCTCTTAGCCTTCCATTACATCAACGTAAAGGCACAAATTATCTGAGCTGTCATTATATAAATACATAGATGCTTTGCCCCTTCTCTCTCCCCTCCTATCTTAAACTCTTAGACTTAGATGGCACCCTGCTATACCTTTCACTTTTTTTTTGTTTGTATGGTGGTTCTCTCCTTCATCCTCTTTCCCCTGCAAATGCTTTTCTTTGTAACAATTTGCATGAGTTGAATTTGAAGTATATTAGTTCCCTCCTCATCTTGAGTTGTTTCTCAAAGGTTAGCTGTCTCCCTTGGCTCTCAGAGAATGATCCAACCATGTAGCTATTTAAGGCCTCTCCAGCACTTAGAGTAGTTCTGTTCTTGTAAGAAAAGATATGCTTAGGTATTGTGACTACAGTCAGAATTATGTATTTTAACTGAGGACACAATTGTTACTAGAATTTCAGCTGCTTAATGTTTATTGTGGCAGCTGTGAGGATTCCCCTTTTCTAAATGCATACTGTGGAACTTGGACAAGTTTATGGAGTAGGTGTTTGAGGGTGTTTGGAGCAGCTTTTTACTAGCTGCTTTTTAGAAGAGTGTTTTAGCCACAGACAAGTATGTCTCTTTGTTTGCATCAGTTTTTTACTGATGGAAAGAACTGGGTAGGAGAAGTAGAACTACAGAGGTCATGGATCCATTTACTGTTGCATCAGTAATCTTGCTTTTGGAACCCTGTATTTAATGTTCTATGTCCATGCCACTTTCTATTCAGGTTTTCTTTTTTGAGGAACTAGAATCAAATTTGTTTAACGCATCACTGAGTACAGTCATGTTATCTGTTCTCATAAGAAACGCTGTGCTAACAGTTCCCGCTTCCCATTTTTAAAGTACAAATGCCAGTTTCACTAACAAGTCTGGTTTTGGAATTCTTTTCTAGTAGGCAACTGCTGCTGAAACTTGTGTTGATGTGGTTTTTGGTTGTTGGTTTTGGTTTGTGTTTGGGTTTTTTGTTGGTTGTTTTGGTTTTTTAAAGCATGCTGGGATGGGGGTTGATAGAGGAAAGCATGAGATAAGATCATAGGTAAAAGCTAGGAAATTCTGGAAAACAGTCTTAGCAGTTGTCTTCTCACTAACAGGCCCCTTCCTCTTGCCCTTGCAAAGTCACTACTCTGCTCTACATAGTGTAAAACAGAACTTAACTATCCAAACCCAAAAAGTAGTTGAGTATTCATTAGTTCTGTGCAGTTTGAGAATAAGTTTTGGTTTTGAAGGGTGATTAAAATGGAAGTGATTCTGTTTTGGCATGTTAAGTGTTACTCATCACGTTAATTTTCATCCTATTTTTTCTCAAAAGACGGGGACACATGGCTACTTGACTGCGATGGCACTTGTTAGATTGAAAGAAACTTCAAGGAGGCTGACAGTTAACTAGTGCGTTAGCCTGGGAGAGGAACGGTTTATGGAAACTAGCCTTTGTCCTGAATTTTCAGAAGTTGTTATTAATTCAGTATATTTGTGTGTGTGTATATAAATAAAAAACTTGTACTAAAAGTTTTCTTGGCTATAGATAAGTACATGTAAATATCAATATATTGGAAAATAGTTCTTGCTAGGACGGAGGCAACAGTTTAATCCATTACACTACTACATGCTGTCAGGATCAACTCTATTTGCAGTTTTGTCAACTAAATAGAATTTGATGCAGGCAGTATTTAAGATGACCTAAAAATATCAAGGCTGTGCAGTGTTAATTATCTGCTTTCTTCTTCACTAATCTAAATGGCTTAATTTCTCTTCACTTTAACATTTGAGGAATTCAGCTCTTACCATCTTGCTTACTTTTAGTTCCATTTCCCTAAACTGAGACCTTTGACTCTTCTATTACCATGACTTACTGACAATTTATTCTTATTGTTTCTACCTGGTTCTTCTGGGGGAAAAAAACTTCAATGCTTCAAGAAACCACACATACTCCTTGACATTTAACTTAATGATGTAAATAAGTACTCTTCTCATATGTACTCAGAGTACACCACTGAATCTGGCAGTACATCATCCTCCTTATCCTTGCAGCCTCTCAGTACCTGAACTACCATCTTCTAACCTTGTTGGCTGAAAAGGCACATCATCTTCCACTAGTCTCGCACACTTGCTGTGACTTGGGTAAAGATTATCACTTTAATCTGTTTCACTAAATTCCAGCATAATCTGGGGAAATCAGAAGCCAGTGTTCCTTAACGAGTTGGTTCAATTCTTGTAGGGACTGAGGCCAAGACTTCTTTCCTTATTGCTGTTTAGCAGGTTGCTCTATTGGAATAACCTGTAAAACTTGAAGCATTTGTGCCAAAGTTTGCCTAGCATTTCAGCTATTCAAATTCTTTCTGCTTTACTAATTTATAGAGGTCCAGGGTAGGCTTTATTAATTCATTTTGAGGCCTTATTCAAGAGCTTGAGTAATATAGCTCACTTTCCAGAAAGGCGACAGTCACAAGGCTTGTGCGTAGAGAGAATATTACTGGGGGGGGAAGTGTTCTCTAAACAGGGATGAACTATCTCCATTAGATCATGGCCCCTATACCTCAAGAAG